CTTTTTGATTTCAATATCACAATACTAGTGTGGCGTGTGTGCGCGCTTTATTATTCTCACGAGAATAGGCTCGTTACACATCCTCAAACAACGGACAGCTATATAATATATACCTATAGCCAACTGTAGGTATACCAGGGTCCGTATACCATTGGATTAACCTAGTCACAATATACCTGTTTATTCGTTCCACACATTTCCTGTAAGTTTTAAACTTCAATATATTACTTTATACGTTTATTTATGATGGTGTTCTCGCACTTATATTTGTTTATAAATATGTCTTGTGTAACCGCAATAGTTATAATAATAGTATTAATATTATATTAATGACGGCTGTGAATCTTGTGTTAATACTTAAACGCTTCAAGATTCTGACCTTATTCTGATGTTTATGTCATATAACATATTAATAATTTTGTTTTGATTGAATGCTTTTTATTTTTATTTTTTTTGAAGACGACAATCTAAAAAAAAAATTATAAATGTGTACTAAGTAATATAAGTATAATGAGTAGTACTGAGTATAATATACAATGTACAACGGCACATGGAATGTACTAATCAAAATGCAACGTATCAATTTATAAGCCTGTAAAAGATAATTACCAACTCACCTTAAAATAAAATACTTTCGGTTTAAAATGATTTAGAATTGTTTTTGAATTCCGAACTTGCTAATCGACTATAATAAACATAATATTATATAACATTTAATTAGATATAAAATTTAAAATATATTTAATAATATTATTAAAAACTATTTCTCTTATCGTCCACTAATCAAACATAAATACACGTTAATTTTTAAACTATGGTCTTGCTTTATGCCGGTCAGAGTTTGGATTGTACTTTTATCTCGGTGATTTTCAATAAGTGTTTTCACGTTTTTGAATTATGATAGATTAAAAAAAATCGGTATCACAGTTTTATATTATTCTAAACGGATGTGTATACATTTATTTTGGGTAAAGGTACGAATAATGTACAGATAACTTTCAAATCGAGAGTTTAACATTGTTTTTATTTACAGGACGAATAATATTAATTCAAGTCAATATCTCAAGTTCTAATTTAATGTTACAAGTCAACTGTAACCAATCATTTTCTAAACAATAAGGCAATCACTAATTTGTTCTATGACGGGATGCAATTATATATATTTCTAAATAGCTAGATACACCATAGAAAGTAGAATACTATAGAATCGCATAATAATATTAATTCTTAAATAGAAAAAAAATAAACCATGTACATTTTATAACACGTGAGATATTGTATAGTTTTTAGTTCGCATGAAAATGTATTAATAATTTCTTTATGAGACTGCGCGTGACCATACGAATAACGTTCATTACAAGTTCATTATTTCGCTTCTTGGACGATATCTTGTAATATAATATCACTTTTTATTTACATATTTAATCAATAGAGAATTGATGTTTCGACATTCAGAATCGTCGCACGTGTCGTTTTAACTTAAAAAATATTTGCCGCCAATATTGCCGCCCATCGACCATTTCCCCATCATAATTAGAGGGACTATAGTTAGTTTACATACACGCGCAGACACAGAAGTACAAAACAGAACATAATAATATAATATTAAATAATACTTGTAAATCGATATGGCCCACACTCTTGAATAATACACTCATTTGCGTATGTAGGTTTTTACACGGGTTTTTTTACATGCACTTTAATATACCCACTATATGTGCCAAACCATAATACCACGTTTATAATATTATATAACGTTTTTCCTCTGTAACTCCAAACCGGTTCACAACATTCTTTCGGTTCGTCTAAAAAATCGTGCTAAATAGAAAAGCCGGACGCCTGTTAACAATAGCCGGTACGAATAGATTTTCTATACTCTTTTTTTTTTTTTCTATAATATATTTTTTTTGCACTAATAAATATAACTATTTGAAGACAAAACGCACATCTATTCGACGAACAATATATTATTATTATTTATATAATATTGTTTTTATGTGTTTATGAGGGCACTCGGATTACAAGATAATAACCCGTCGTTGATACACAGTATCCGTGTGATAACGAATGACATGTTGAACGACGTCCACAAGACGTATGAGTATTATATTATTGTGATATAAATTGTGACATTAGTTTCCCAACTTTCCGTCCATTTGAGAATTCAAGATAGTCTCCTAACCGAACGCCCCACCGTAAGTCGGTTTGCATACACGCGACGCCTTGCAATAAACCATAACGCCATACACGTGATATTTATACAGATGGGTAGCATAATAATAATTAATAATATTATTAGTACTATTCAAATAGCGAATTAACCAAACACCTGATGATTTATAACTCTGTTTATTTATTTAATTTGTTTTTAGTATAGGTATTTCAATGTTTTAGATAATAGTTTAGCGATCTCAAGTCGAATTAAGTAATAAAAGTTATTACTTATAAGTTTACATACACAGTATAGAATAATGTTGTCATATAGAACACTATTTATTCTAATATATGCACAAAAGTTATTTTTTATTTAACATTCAAATAAACCAAACACGCGCTTTTGACTTGATTCATGTATTTAATTAAATCTTTTTGAACGCACGAGTTGAGTTTTATTATTAGTTTTTCGACATTTCTACGACTTCATGAAATGGCTTCATAGTTCATATGCAGCCATCGTTTAAAAAAAAATATTTTTGTAAACTGACCTACGGTCGCTGCAACCATTGATTTTTCATTTCTAACGAATGTTTCTAAAAATAGCCTAAAAATTCTGCACAACGTCAAACCAAACTCACCGTTAAAAAAATGTTTTAGCACGATATTTTTCTATTTTTTTTCTAGATACTTTGCTCTTGCGTATATTATTATTAGGCATGACTAAGAAATGTTTGTAAATAGTAGTTTTCAACATTATCGTAGGTTAGTATGACATTCGTCTTTCAAATAGATTGAATATATTATGATATTGTACTTTGGCAAATATGTTGCGTATGAAATTTATTAATTAAATGTGAACAAAAGTGGACCCATTTGGACCAATTTATAAAAAAATGTATTGTTTTAATATTATTGTACTTATTTGTTTTATTTTTATATTTCAGAACTTTAACATGTACCTATTGTACCTAACTTGTAATCTGGCTTACCTTTTTAGTGTATGTTAGTTAAAAATTATTTGACAAAACTTATTTTTACATTCATAAAATATTAAAATGAATTTGGTGCGATATTAAATATTATATAGACGAACTTTTTCGAAAACCGACGTGATGATGAGTGACAGTTAAAATTAAAATAACCATTAAATATTCATGTAGGATAGAAGTGTTGGATACATATGAATATAAATTTATGTTAACATTAAACACATAGTCATCGATTTTAATATGTTTTGACATATTTAGTAAACATACCGAACATTACACTTTTCCGGTTAACAATTATTATATTCCACTCTTATATTATTGTTATTTATTATAGGAAGTCCTCAATAGATTAGATTTCATTGACTGTTGCTTAATGCAATTATGGAATAATTTAAAAAACGCATATTTTATTTTTAAAAAAAAATTTGAAACTAGATGCATCATATTTTTACATACTTTGTAGGTACACACAAGGTATCAATATAAATCGAAAGAAAATAAATCAATCTAAATCTTTCCAGTTGTATTGGTCTAGTTTGCACCTATAAGTTTCCAATAAACAACATAATTATATTTTATAAAATTCTCTATTCACTTTTATGTTTTAGGGCCCAAATGTTTTACTCTAGAATTTCAAATTCTTATATAATATTATACGGCATGTATTTAGCCAATATTATGAAGTGCGAGTATAGATATAGAAACTGTAATAAAATATTAATAATGCATTATTAATACGGTCGATGGGTCAAGGTTCAAGAATTAAAAAAGTATAATACAATCACGTATCCGATAAACAATAGTTCTTATTATTTTTAATATTAATTTTTCAAAATTACTTTAAATTTAATTGTGATCTAGAAAATAAATGAAATAAAATGTAATAGAAAACTGAACACTGTTTTTTTACTTTAGTGACTATGCGAACAAAATCAACCTCACTAGGTAATCCCATACCTATTATACAAGATATAAAATTGAAATAATTTTATTCATAGAAAACCATTACGTTTAAAAAACACAGACTTTTAATTGAAGATGGAAGGTTTTATTAAACGTATTATTACAAATCATTAACTACTTACGAAAGTTAATTTAGTATGTTGTCTTATGACTTATATAATAATTAATAGATGATTATTATATTATAAATGTGAGACAGTGAGACACTCAACAGGCGTTCTAACTCAATATTTTAGAAACGATTTTTGATTGTTGAACCTAGTGGCACAATAGTATTTCTGTACGGAATATTTTTCTGCAACAGACGGACGTAAATTCGTTTAATAATTGTCAAACATAAAATGAATATTTATTAGCCAACATATATGCATATCTAATTTCTTAAGCTCAATGCCTGATATCGCGAGCATACATATCCAGTATGATATTATTATACTATATACATATTTTATACTTAATAATATTATTTATGATTTTTTAAAAACATTTTCATAATATTATATTATTAACACACACAGACGTGTCGTATGTACAGTTGCATAGTCTATTAATTGGGTTTCGACTAACGATCCTGTAAACTATTTATAATGTGCATCACATTATTATCCGTACCTATAATTATGCTATTATAATATCAAATATTGTACGATTATTATTGTTGTTTATTGGTGTTATGTGATGTAAACTAATATCGTTGCGATAATTTAATAATAACATAATAATATAAATATATAATATAAATTATATTGTATACTGTTGTAATTGTCATTGGTGACCGTCGAGACGTCATTTTAGGACCCCCTTCCCATGAAAATGTATCCCCGCAACATGTGCCAAAACGTTCATTAGACCATTCTTGTTTTTATTTTACAGAAGGATCTTAGCAGCCGAATGGCCCTAATGCTAGTCGGCTTGTTGAAAGTCTTCTCGGCACTCGTTTTGATCGTGTCCACATCGAGCAATTCGTTGCTACTGCTAGTGTTCTACCGCCGACCTGGTCTGCGCACCCTATCAAACAGGTGAGTTCATATTTATAATAATATAAAATCACGATAAAAACTACGTCTCGATCGATAAATTATATAAACCGTTCATTATGTTCACTCCATAACATTGTTTGGATTTAGCATCACGCGAGTAAATCAAATGAAAACAATTTTATCTTTGATTAGGTATGTACATATACTTACCTAACTATATGTAATAGCCAATAGGTACCCATATTTTTATTATAATACTATAATAATATTAAAATTAAAATGTATTGTTATATTATCAGAACAATTCTTTTTGTCCTAAACATATTATACTTTATTCTGGGAACTTAATTTATATATTCTCTGATAAAAAAAAATCTATAATGACTGCATCTAATGAATAAGTGATACCTCTTCGATGTTAATGAGGTTAGAGTACCTTCTCATAAGAATGTACATTTTATATTTAAATACACTATGTATATCGGTATAATTTCACGATGAATATTTATATTGTTTGATTTTGTTTTCCTGTATGAATTAATCTTAGGCATTCATCGATTTTATAACAAAATTAATTCTTAATTACTTTTGAAATCACATTAAAGAATACTTATTAAATTTGTAATTGATATATTTTATTATATATTAGAGCTAATAGTTATTCATTATATAATTAATAAATGATGTAATATAAAGTAATAAAAAAATATAAATGTATGCAATATGCATATAGTTTTATATAAATACTGTATAATAAATAAACTCATCAAAATTGTAACAGTGCCAAAGACCCAGTTAATACCTAGTTGGTATATTAAAAATTTTGTAAAAAAAAGCGAGTATTGTGCCAAAATAATTTTTGTTTGGGTATATATAATATAATATATGCATGATATACGCACCGTCTAAAATATATACCTACTGCAGTATAGTGGCTATATATCAATCGATAAATAAATATTTAGGTTACTGAAAAATGTACTTTTTACATGTATGTCATGTATATTTAAGTCGAACCTACGCACTCAAAGTTTAATCGTCATTATTATTACTTATTCGTAAAATAGGGCAAGTATACCACACTTAAGAGCATGTTTTAGTTTATGATACAAAATAATATATTTATTCCAGACCATGTTTACCGATACTCAATCCCTGTATTGTTTGTTTATTGTTATGATACAAATAATAGATTTTCAATGTTAACGTTCCAAGGTAACGTAAGCCATTTGGTTATCGAATTTCTCGAGAGGTTTATTGTTGTACAAGGGCGATAAATACCTATATTATACATTATATACGTATTCATTTTGAGGTATAAAATAAAAAAAAATTCTGCAGAAGAAACACGTCGCGGACAGGGTCAAAACCGACCAACCGTGAGGACGGAGTGGCGACGAACGCTTAGATGAGTACCTACCAAAATCTTCTGTTCGATAATTAAAGTTTATTATCTTTATAAATATAAATGTTTTACTTAACGACTAGTTTTTTTTATTTACAACCAACGTCCAACACGTTTTTTTATGCGAAATACCTTATAGACTATAGCTATGACGCCTAGGTTCTTACCTATACTGTTATGATGTACTTGACAAATATGTATATACACTGTGCATTGTGCAATTTCAATTTTAGTTCTGGATATGCGTAGGAGAGTGAAGAATAATTCATGTAGGTATATTTAGATTATAATATGTTTTATAAATCTGGAAAATCATTAATCGTTTCATATATATTTTACGTTCGGGGAGAAAATTAATTTCTATAATATTAAATTATATTTCACTGATATAATGACATGCCTTTGTACCAATCTCCCTATATTATAATTCATTCATAATACTCGTGTAGTCGCATGTGTTTTTTTCACGTTACATAATTTCTATTTTTTTCGATCAATAAGATCCCACATTATTAGTGTTTGTATATAGTTTGATAGCCAATAAACAGTTTCTATATAATAACGGCAACCACGGTTTACATTTATTTTGGCAAAATGTCAAGAGTTTAAAAGTATTAAAAATATTATCAGTATTCTGTGATTAAGTAGAAATTTGTAGAATCATAGCTGTATACTTGGGTGTTTAATTTTTGTCCACACGGATATACAAAATCCGTTTTTTGCAGTTGTATTTATCTCTTGAGAACATTTTTTTTCTTTTCATCGGGTATGACATTTATTAAAGTATTGTTGAAATCGTAACTACGTCACGTGTAATACTTACTTTATGGAATCATTTCAGGCGATTATACATTATTACATAAGTTGGATCTAATCCATTTGGCATCTATATTATGATTCCAAAGCGATTTTTTTTATAACTGTTTACGATATTTTTAGATAAAATACTCATCAGTGTTCAGCGTGTTCGGTTGAACCCGTTCTGACTCTTATTTCGTACTATTACTTAAATAGTGATAAAGTCAATATTATATCTTCCTGATTGTTAAGTTTATTTGCAATTAATAATAATAATTCTTAAAAAATTGGTAATTCATTGATCTTTTGTATGATAAGTTAGGTACATGTTGCAGTGTTTCATTATTCTGATCGATTATCTTTAAACAAATTTGACTTAATCGAAAAGCTAAAACCCGAAGTCATATATAGTCTCAACTCTCAAGTGACATTCATATCCAACGTAAATGTATGTATTATGTTTATGTAAACAATATAGCTGTTCGTTTTTCCTCAATGTTTTGTTTGTCTCGGATTAACGACTCCTCGTATTAACACAATTGTCAATTATTCATTAATGATTCCATATTTTGTTATATTTTCTATCGAAAGTGACGTCGGACAACGTTTATTATGATATAAACGTGTAATACCATGGAAGTAAACTTTCGTTTTTGAGTACCTACAAACAGTGTGATATAATTTGTACCAGAATACGTTGATTTACGCGTCTTCCGTAATAATTTATTATGCAGCTCAAAAACTATGTGCTCCGATTTCACGTTTTCTTTTCTTTTCTACAATTCTGCTGCGATGTTTAATTAATTGATATACGTTTCTCGTATATAACATCCAATTTTATTGTTTGAAGTTATACGCTCAGCAGAAACGCGTAGTTTGTGTTACCGGGTTGAAAATATACTTTGCATTGCGCAGTTTTGAACCATGTATGCACTATATGTCACTATGCAATATAATATCTTGATACTCTTATGTAATGTTACTCATTTTTATGTGTATATATACGTAAGCATAATAAACGTAAACCTATCGATATGTAGTAATGTTTGCGTTTGTATATTATTATTGTTGAGTCGTTTTTGAGTACCAATACCTCTATATTGATACTACCAAAAATGAGGATTGCAATAATAATCGTGAATATAGTATTCTTATAACTATAGTTATTCATGGATTCGAGTAATAACTGATAGCAAGGTATAAAATAGTACTTGTATATAAACGATGCAAACGCATAATATCACTATTTTAACAACCAACAGCACAATGTTATATAGCAGCATGTAGTGCGAGTTCGGTGCATATATGGAATTATTGAGGAGGTGGCACAGGGTCATCAGCCGTATATAGATGTGTATATAATATACAGATATATTATGTATTCTCATAAACTGAAGATTACAGTTAAACGGTTTAATTTTAATTAAATACTATAGTATCCTTTTAAAGTTAGGTATAAACCATTGTTAGTAAATGTATCCTTCCACGGACTAAATTATAAAGTAATTCAAAAATATAGTAATCTTCATAGTTCATTGACTGTTATATTATAGCTCAAAATTGTATGACGAAACTAAAGCCTCTCTAAAAGCCATAAATCCTAAGACGTACACTGTTCTTATAAAGAGTGTATTTAGGTGTATAACTGGGTCAAGGCAATACGCTGAAGTGCGGAAAAAGAAAACAATTTTTTTTAAGACGTATAGACGTACCTATAGGTACCTACCTAATAATTTTTTTTTTATCAAACTCGTTAATGCGTATTAAATTTAATATGGGTACGTGCATGTGACATGTGTACACAATATTATTATAATAACCTGGATGCATTTTTTTCTTTTGCAGATTCGTGATGAATTTGTTGGTGACGAATTTGGCGAGCAGTTGGATACTGGTGCCGTTAACGTTGTGGGAAAGCGGCCCATTCAGTGACTGGGCACCTCCGCTTCCGGCGGCCGTGTGGCACGGGCTAACCGGGGCTGTATACACGCAGTCCGTGCTGTCCGTGATGACGGTGGCCGTGGATCAGTACTACGCGGTCACCGACCCTCTGCGGTATCACGTGACGGTAAATGCGGCCAGCTGCGCGGTGGCCGTGGCTCTTACGTGGTGCCTGTCTGCCGTGGCCGGCGCCCTGTCGGCCTTCCGCGAACTGTCCGTTGCGCCGGAAATGTATCGATACGCGTTTCCCGTTGCATACTCCGTGCTCCTGTACGTCGTTCCGTTCGTTACCGTGTGCGTAGTGTACGTGAAGATATGTACGGCCGCGCACCGGAACAGCGAACGGGCCAGACGCAACGGGTCCGTGCCCGACCACTTGCAGCAGCAACAACAGCCGCTTCAGCAGCCACAGCAGCAGCAGCAGCAACAGCAACAACCGTTTCAACAACAGCAACAACAGCTGCAGTACAATAACAACAACAACAATAATAACAACATCAACAACAACGAGTATAACATAGTTCCTACCATTCAAGAAGAGGATGACGAGACGTTAGAGTCCGCTTCCCTACAGGCGGCGGTCTCCTACGAACCTGAGGCATCGTCCAAACCACCTCAGTCCACCCGGGCTAGTCTGAAGAGCACGTCCAGTTCCATTGTAAACCATTTGAGGTGAGCACTTACGTACCATAAATTATTCATTAAACCCCTAACAAAAAATTATCATACGAATCGTGTATGAGTGCCAATGCTGTATATTTTAGACGTCTCCGCGGTATTTGAACCGGTCATACGCGGTAATGTAGTTTGAAACCTTGAAAAACTGTACCTATATGCTATATTTTTTACTGTTCCGATGCAGTATAGTATATTAATATTATTATGAATGAAATATCTTTTCGCCAAATTTCACATTGCTAATAATATGTGTGTATCGCCAATATTTGGCACACTTCGTCGTCGTATTAGCTGTTCGCCATATAATAATATCATAATATGTGTATGGCGTTTGGGGTCATTTTGACATTGGCCGCTTCACCGCGAGATTAGCAACAAACAATAACTTGATAAACGATAAATATATGTCGCGAGTGTAGGTTGGTGGTGCCTATATAATGCCCATACACATTATTAGTATAATACTTTTAAAACTTTTCGAAACTGTACGCACTGTGTTTGTATAAATGTCACCCGAAAATGTGTAGCGATACATAATTCAGGGTGATGTATTTTAAAGTAGTTAGGATAATCTTTTATTCGGAGTCCTTTAATGTCATCGCGTATTTTTCGGAATTTTAAGCAGATGACTTTAGTCCCTAGGGAGCTACGACGGGTTGTACTTATCAAGCACACCGGTAAATATCTTAAGTCGAAGTGTGAGTTTTGTAGCCAGGAAAAGATCGTGATCGCGTTTTAAATGAACTTGGTTTCATAACAGTAAAAGATTAAATTCTTCCCCACCTTGTGTTTATGTAAATTCGAAAATAATATGTATATATAGCCATATAGGTACTTATCGATAAAAGCATGTCTAAACCTATGTATATAAAAACTGGTATATTTGTTTAAATATGTTCCTGTGGAAATCAATAGTCTAGAGTTTGAATAAAAAATTCTAGATTTACGTGTTTAAGTAATGATATAATAGGTTTAATAATTTAAATCGACAACCATACCTATTATTATAATAACTCCAATATAATTCGCAATAAAGATAGGTTTAAAACTCACTGAAATCACAGACTGCACGTAATGTTTGTATAATCAATGATTGCAAATTTTCGTTGTTACTCGGTAAAGTATTATGATTATCTATTTATGCAAAGAATATATTGCACTATTATTTTTGCACTTATTAACGGTTGTTGAAGCGTATATAGCTAATACACTTATATTACTACTAATTATAAATATACTAGTATACTATACTATTACGGTAAATATACGAGGTACCTTTTCGTTTAACAATATCATACTAATTTCGTGCAGTCGTTGTAAATGTCTTAATGCTCATTAAATTATATACATAATATAATTTTTAACTAATAACTGAAAGTATATCTGATGGTGGTGAACAGCATTTAATCGAGTCAAATAAAGCAAAAAGCCGAACCGAACACCCCTCCCACTCTAGCATAAATTGTTATTATTGTATTATAGTACCTATATACAGTAAATTAAAGACAGACGCAGGCCATATAATGCAGTCCTAACAATATGATTTGCAGTTATACTTGCACAAATCGTACAATACATTTTATAATCTTGTTGTACTACTTCACTTGTACTTGTTATTGTAATAATAATATATTATTATTATAAAGGATAATAATATTACACTCGCAATTTTAGATTGTAATAATAATTAAAATAATCGTTACAATAATTATACAATCGACCGCAATCTACTTTATTAAATTACATCTCATCGGTGACTCCGGCGGCGGTCCTTGTCCACTAACTGTGCGCAAATTAATATAATTGTACCTATATATATAAATATAATAATATGTTATATACATACGGTCGTGTGCCAAAGTGTGTGTGTGTGAACTCTGTGGTATAAAAGACATTAAATCCATCCGCAACAACGATCGCGTATTCGCGTGCATATAATTATTATTGTTCCGTGTGTACAATATCTTATTTCTTGTGCGGAGTCCTCTCGGACGACTCTTGGATACGCGTAATAATAACACAGATTATATAAAAATTTTATTTAATCTGTGATAATAATTTATAATATTCGCGATTTGGGGACATTTTCAGACTGAAATAATATAATTTTACAACCGTGGCCAATACATATTATGATGTTATATTATTATTTATATGTATGCTCAGATGGCGTGCACCTATACACGTTCGAGTGCAACACAAATAATTATTATACCATTTATTGTAGCAATTTCGACGATGACGACGAATTATAATATTATCAATATCGTAATATTATACGGCACTACTGCAGTGGGGATCGTCCAACAATGTTATATTATACATATACGTTGATAAGCAAATTATAACACGCAGCAGAATCTCATCGGTAACTTAGTATAAAAAAAATATCGTTCAACAAATCGTCAAAATTAGTAAAAAAAAAAAAATACTAGAAATTCGTTTGAAAATCAAATTTTTTTTCGACCCGTTTCCTTGAACTCACTTTGAGTTACTGCAGAGAGAGTAGATATTTATAGGACTGTCACCCCGCAATGACCGGGTGCACGTAATTTATCATCGCTTAAATATAAGAGAGCGCTAGTCGGACGTGGCGTATAATAATATTATATTATTATGGACGAAACATATTATATCTATCTATTTATTTACGATATAATGTGTATAATAATTAACAAGTAACAACAGAACGACGGCTAGAAAATGTATTAATCGCTATACACCAGCGATCGTCACTTTATAGGGAAAGTCGTCATTAGGCATTAGCGGCTGTTTTCATTTTATACCACCTATATGCGCCGTAGTTGTACGATGTATGTAATAATATGTGGTAGCAGGTATTCGAATAGTAATTAGGTATAGGTAGTAAATAAAACATAATACAATAATTATAAATGATGTACCTACTGCAGGTGGAAAACCCGCCAGAGACGATTATTACGATCGGAAATCTCGACGAGAGTGTCCGTCGGCGTTTCGGTTCCAAAACATATTTATTGTACTGTTATTAGTAGACTCTTTATCTATAATAGACATTTCAATTAGACTCTATAGCAGTTCCCATACTATTATAGTCTGAGTGATATTGATGTCCGATGACCTATTATACAACGTGAGTGCCATCTAACCTTCGCTCATTTATTATATCGGTACCTCTTATCTACTCCACCCGCAAGTCGCAAGTGCGTTGACATGTAGTGTGGTTGGTTCGAAATATAATAAGTGTACATCGCAGTACAGCTCCACATTTGTTCATTTTAAAATTATAATGAGAATAACAATAATACATATTTCAATATTATTATCAAAGAAAATTTGTTACAACAATCTGAGGAATCCGAATCATTAAATGATTTATAAAACTACCGTGTGAGCTTGATGAAGGAGCCGTCCAGCGACAGCCACTATTGCACTAAGTTCAGAATTTCGACAGCTAGTTTAATTACCGCATCAAGTCTTGTCCGTGATAAAGCTTCACAATCTTATTTATTCACGTCGTTTTTTTTGCTGCGTGACTGCGTATTTATGTTAGTATGTTACATCAACAGAACAGGATAAATAAATCTTAATCTGAATATCTTAAAAAATATGAAAATCGATGATTCTTGCGAGGAAAAATTGGTAATTATTATAATTAATAACTTCATGTTATAATAATAATTACCAATTAGGGCGATCACCGTTATCGCACGGGCAGCTCGCCAGTCGCCGCAAACCACCAACGTAATCGCTTCATACGACAATGTATAATAAAGCAAAACTCACTTATAATAAGTTATTATTAGTTTAGAATTGTTTGCGAATTACGATCGACATATTTGTATGATGTGCGTTTATATATTGTACACATTAATACGTATACTGTTGTACACCGCGGACCAAGGGAAATGGTTTTCTTAAACTCTCATCGTGATGATATATATAGGTACTTTCGTGTTTTCACGACCGTCCGTATAAAAAAGAAAAACCCGATTAATATACAATATTAAATCTTAATCATAGATTATGTTTCTATCATCGGAGAGATGATTATAATTTAGGTATAGGTACCTATTCTTATTTTGAAACTATTTTTTTGATTTATTAGTTATTTGTGAAAGTTTATTTATCGTTATCGTTTTTATTTCGAATATAAATCATATAATTCGTGTCTTATATTATTAAATAACTAGTGACTAGTGACGTACCGTGCCTATACTCTATATAGGTAGAAATTAATATAAAACATATTACTTCAAGCTGTATTTAATCGGTCGTGTGTATGTTCACTGTTACAATTTATGTCGATATATCATCTTATCATTATAATATAGTACTTATCATTATAGTACTCATCGAAATTGATCGTGTTAGTTGATGTTGAACTTTGTCAACGGAGATTTGAGCAAATCACATTTTGTACTATATGCCTACTCTCTGTCCCACGGCGTTTGCGTAAATCACATCGTTAGTAACTAATTTGAAATTGACAAACGGCTTTTTAAGTAGGCAAAAATCCCAAACACTTTGTTGTTTAGTTGACATTTTAACCGCGTCATATTTTTATAGGTAATCAGTAATACCACGAGTAAACAGAATACGATTAGTGAGAGATCAAAACACGTTCAACGAAAATAAATCCTTACCTATATGGCTATATACATCAAAACATATTATTTTCAATAACTGCAGTGTAATGTGTACGGTGTATCAAATATCAATAGGAAATACTATATTGTAATAAAAATATAAAATATTGCGTATTTCATAATTATGAACTATTCAGTTTCATAGTTTTTATAATAATTATTATCCACTGTTCATTTAGTATTTTAGTACTATACCCAAAGTGACTATATACCCAAGTCACGAATAGAATACGTCACTTGTTTGAGCTGTGGTAAAACTGCGCCTTGTTTCGTTTTTATTTTGCATTGATCTATTTTAAACTCTATGCTTAAACTGAAAAATTAAAGGCTCATGTCCTAAATACATTTGTCAAGGCAGAGGCGTTGGACGAGTAGTAAAACATATCGTACAAATTTCTTCATAAATCGTACATATTTTAAAGGACGTGTGTATAGTGTATTTATTTTACTCATTATTTGAACAAAAGACTTAATGACGAGACTTAGTTGTTAAAAAAGGATAGATAAATGAAGTACTCAAACGTGTAAAAACACAGTATCTCTGCTTTCAAAAACGTTGTGCAGCTGCATAGCAGAAAATCGTAGGTACCGAAATTAAGCCGAATTAAAAAAAAAAACATATTAAAAACATTTTACTATATTATACCACATTACTACCTATATGGCTATATTTCATATTACGTATCGCCGAAAAGCCTGCGTCCAAACGCGTCTTTCAATAACCGACAAACAAACGTTTTAACCTCCTAGCGGTCGCGCTAGCGGTGTTTACACCGCACCATTGGGAAAAACCATTTTATTTAATTATACTTATTGATAAGATTAGTATGACCCCCTGATATTCCTACACCATGTATTAATAAACATAATGCTAATGTTAATTAATAATTAATAATTATTTTTTAATATGCACAATATTATGTTAAAATAAAGTTATTTGATAAATTGAATTGTTTGTAAATGTCATTGTAAATTATTCCTTACGTGTATTATGCAAAATATAAGATAACAGTTCTAAAAATCTACACTAAAAATAAAGAAATAAAATAGCGGTGTTAACTAAACCAACGAGATTTTCATAGGCGCGACCTTTAGGAGGTTAAGAGGACGCTACACCCCGACACCCGCATGTGTTGTCTCCGTCTTACAAATGTACAACATAGCAAAAACTGTTTTGCGCGGGAAAGAACCGAGAAGGCTACAGTCATAACTAAGAAACAACATTTTCACCACACAAAAAGGAGAACTTTGGCTGTGCAACGTCGTTTTTATTTTTTTGATATCATTTATATGAAAAAAGTTTTTTAAGTTTGAAAAACACAAACAATAATGGTTTTTGAAACAGTAAGAACTTTTTTCATATAAATGACATCAAAAAAATAAAAACGACGTTGCACAGCCAAAGTTCTCCTTTTTGTGTGGTGAAAATTTCGTTTCTTAGTTATGACTGTAGCCTTCTCGGTTATTTCCCGCGCAAAAGAGTTTTTGCTATGTTGTACATTTGTAAGACGGAGACAACACATGCGGGTGTAGCGTCCTCTTAACGAAAAAAAAAATATGTATTAAAATTGAAAATTATTCAATATATATTTAATGTATACAACCCATAATAACGTATAACTGCATTTTATAAACAACAATTATTGTTATTATACGTATACGAGCATTCAATAACTTATTTTGTTGATTTCTATACCAAGTCCAATCTCATTAATCCATATCATAATACCTGTAATAGAACTTTATTAATCTGTGACGTATTTGTTTTGCGTGTTTATATACAGATACAGGATATCGAACGCGAGCATGTTCCGTTACCGGGAGGAGACGCGGGCGGCCAAGATATCCGCCCTAGTCATCGTCACGGCAGCCGCATGCTGGACGCCGTACGCGGTGCTCAAGCTGTCAGAGTGGCCGCCGCTGTCTGGCGGCGGGATCCCGTCGCCGGGCCCGCTGGCTGCACTCCTGTCGCTGTCCGCGCACGCCGTCATCACACCAATACTGTTCGCGCATCGAAACCGGCGTGTGCACCGCGAACTCTGCCGCATATTCTGCCGGCGGAAGCGGTGCAGCAGCTTCTACGACAACGTCCGGAACGCGACCGTCGCGTCGTCCGTGGCCGCGGGGCCCGTCAAGTCGGGGGCCACCGTCGGCGGTGCCAATCCCGGCGGCCCGAAACACGTTTTCGGCCGGTGGTTCGGCAGCGGGTCGGGCGGCATCGGGTTCGGCAAGTCGGCCACGCAGCCGTCTGCCGTCCCATCATCCGTAGTTGTGCCCACCGCCGCGCACTTGCCCACCGACACCGAGATGACGCGCAGCTCGTTCTCCAGCAATGGTAGCACTACCACGCAGACGTCGTCGGTGATTACGGTGGACTGACCGCGACGGTTCGCCGCCAACACGCCGAGGCGGCGATGACCGTCTGCACCCGAAACTTCTTTTCTAGTCACCCCAATCCCCCCAATTATCTGCCCCTCCCCCATGGTGCTCGTCCACGTTATATTATATTAATGTTATGTATATATTTATACAAGGGCCACTCATCCGCCATCTTCGTCCCATGAGTATGAACATGTTTACGTCCCACCCCAAACCTACCACCCCATCAACCAGAATCGCGGTCCACCACAACCGCGATGGTCCGACGAATGTATATTATGTGTACGTGCAGCTAGTTGTCACGCGCGACGTATATTACAATAATATACGCACGTGATTTTATTATAAACGGTTCTCAAAACTTGTTTTCCTATTATTGTGTACTTAAAACGAAATCGGTTTTTATTTAGGTATTTTATTATATTATAATATAGATATTTATGTGTACTTTGTTTCTAAAAAAAAATGAAAAATACCGTACGCGTATAATATTATATATTATTATTTTTTTATGTTATTAATTTGTAATTATATTATATTTATATATATTACTGAACGTATGTAGTATTCGGCTAATCATTTGTGGATTGCTTTTATATTTATTATTTATCAATATATCATTTCCCCACCAGGTAATAGAAATTCTATCGTTTTTCACGCGGAACTCATATATTTTTATTGTTAACTTATAAAATACGACGTACTCAAATAATATTTTAACTTGTACTTGTATTCTTTTTTTTAATATTTAATGTTTCCTTATACCAAAAATCTTTCCGACCCATTTGATTATTTAAAAAAAAAATGTTAACTGTATATTTTATATTATAAAGTCTGCAATAGTGATTTGCTTTTGAAACTTATGTTTAGTCCATAATGCATCGCTAATATATTTAATTTCCTATTTTTTGATTACGCAAACTGTGTTGGTTTTTTCTCCTCGCAGGATACCTTGCACGTGAATTAATTCCTATTATACACGCTCATACATAATTATTATTATCGTACGTAATAATAATATTATGAACGGTGTATACGGTTTGTAGTGTTTGTATTCCCTTACTTGTAGTATAGCGTGTTATTTATTCGCCCTACATACTATATAGTTACTATTATAGTTCTCATTAGGTATAGTAATTGTACTATCGCAGCTCCGATTGTATAGGTATTACCAGCTACTAGGTAACAAGTACCTATGTATAATCACAGAACAATATAGAATAGACACTCGATCAGCTGTGAGGGTTTACGTATCCCTACGGTATGATGTATTGGACTATAAAAGTTGTACCGTATCCGTAATCTGATAGAACGTTAGCAACGTGTATCCCTCTTTGTTACGGAATTTTTATAAACGATTTTATATGAATTTTCATATTTTAAGTATATCAATATTAAATTTTGGTAAAATGAATAAGGATTTTGTTTTAATATAAATTAAAAACTATAATGTAATTTTACATTGGTTTATTGTTAATGAAATAATATATTGTATTATTATTCTGTGGACTGATAATATTGATATGATTTATTTAAATGATAACATATGCCACGCCCCTTAGAGACTGTGCTCAAGGCTACAGTCACCCGATTTTGCCAATACACAGAGTGTCTATACCCTGGTATAATGCATTATGTAGGTCGGCAGTACTAACGTCTCGGCGACGGTATGTATAATATACATTTAGTTACCGTATAATATATACGTATTATCGTTAATCAATTGATTATTATTTAATATTTATAATCAATGGTACATCACAGTCCACAGGTGCGAGCGCAGTTGTAGTAGTAGCCGCGGCAAAAGAAACTGCCAACAGTAGATTCAGATGATAAAAAAATGTGGGACACAGTGGTATACTTATAATTATTATCAGGCGTGTACACAAAAAAAAACTCGGGGATGATTCATAGTAGATTTCGGGGAGAGGTTCATAATCTATATATATAAATAAAGTACACAACTATTAATTTTCGGGGGGGAGTTGAATCCCCCCCCCTTTATACACGCCTGATTATTGTAGACGTAATTCGTAAAGTTACATTACATTATACTACATTAATAAGGCACCCGGTGCCAATGTAATTTTGTACCAAAAAATACGCTCTATACGCGGGAATAATGATCCTGGTCTGTAAAATCAACCAAATTTGATAATATTTTACAGACCGCAACGAACTCCGTTTTCAATAATTTAATCTCAAACCTTATAATATGTCTTTAAAAATTATACAATTTTAAGCGTTTTGTTTATAAATTGAACTATAGTATTTTTTTTAAATAAAATAAAAAATCGGAGTTCGATGCGCCCTGTGTGAAGTCTTTTTCTTTCAGATAAAAAAAAATAGGTATCAAAATCGGACGATTCCACAAGGCTTGAGAATTATTCCCATGAAGTAATTTTTTTCGATTTAATACACCCTATCAACCACTACATTAGTGGAAAAGTATTATAATTAAGGTAGCAACTAAAATTTAATTTTCAAATTGTATAGAATTGAGGAAAATTTAAAAAACTGGCACCGGGCCCCTTATAAGTGGTAGTATGTACTATATACAGATATACTATCTGTGGTATTATGTTACGGTGAGAACTTAATACCTCACAAACGTTATAATGATAATGATATTAAATATTATTATTATGGTTTTGGGTGTCATCGTGGCGGCATGGTGTCTAGTTCAACGTAACCTAAACCTTAACACTCTACTACTCCATTGAGACGTATACCTTCGCTATACACAACATTATACTGTAAAAAAAGCTATATCAGAGGTATTCAAACATTTTCATACCTTCTTTGACCTTTACACAATTTTGGTGGCTCCTAAATTATTAAAAGCACACAAAAATATAATATTTTAACGTTTAATTATTTATGCTTTATTATAAATACTTTACTTATATCGACAACAAAATATGAATTTAATAATAATTATGTATAAAAAACTAAATGTTTTCTGATTAGAATAAAATATTATATTAATTGCCATCATACAAAATACTCGCGACGCATAGATTTCATCATTGCGCTTATTATAATATTATACTCGCGAAATAATTGTTTACGTTTTTCACGGATAAAATGTATTGTATGGGCATCATAATACAAGATATATACTAGATACTCATTTATAGAGTTTCTTAAAAATTAAAACCGTTCTTATTAAATACCAGATGTCTAATTGTCGAAATACACCAAAAAATGATTCAATAATTTCATTGATGATTATTTTTTAAATGTATTTTTTTAGTATATAAGTCACTATAAAGGCGTTTTTAAAAATACCATGAAAATAAGTTTACTATCTGATTTGAATCATAATATTATGATTACAGTCGAGTTCCATCATTTCAGTGTTATTGATGATTTATGGTAAAAGCCGGTAACTTTTAAATATAATATAAAAATAAAATCATTATTCTCCAAAAAAACAATGATTTAATAAGAGAAAAACTCTTAATAAAATAAATGTAAAAGTATACGGACAATAATATAATGCAAAATAACCATTTTATACCTAAAATTGTATAAAGGTTAGGTATTGGTTCGGTATTTGCCAAATACTAATATATAATAGATAACCAATTACATAACATTACTTGATAATTCATATTTTAAAAGATAAATAATACCATAAAAACGTGTGTTTTATCTAGTCGAACAAGGATATTAGCAACCTAATAATGTATGATTTATAATTATTATAAATATGCCAATATAATATCATAAATTTAATGAAAAAGAATAAAACAAATTTTTAACAATACAAATACAAGTCTAGATTAGATTATATTTTTATTGTATCGATTGTCGCTTTTTATATTACTTTTTTAAATAATTGATAAACCTATAGATTATTATACTATTATTGTGATACTCGATACGGCGATACATGATACTTTCCAGAAGAGTATCGTGATACAAGACACAAGATACAACTGTATACTGTATAGTATTGTACTTATAAAGTTATAAGTTACATGTATCTTCGTTATAAGGCATCCCAGGATGGTAGACGTACTGTACTACATGTACCTAGGTAGTATTTTTTCTTCCTAAGACCACCTGTTAATATTATACCTAATTTTGTTAAATTTCTACAGCTGATATAAAATTAAATAACCACCAATTACCAAAAGGCTGCTCATGAGTTCGTGAATCAATTACATATTCATTTTTAAAAAATTAACAAAAAATGTTGTCAACAATACAAAATATGGCTACAACAGTCAACAATATCTTTCAAAATTATTATCATTCCTAATTTATGTAAAGTGAGGCGTATTATCAAAGTCGATTCGGGCCACAAGAGTTTGAAAAATAGTTTCTAGTTTTGAAAAAAAACTCTTTTATTGTTACAGATCACAATACAAAACCGAAAGTTAAAAATATATTGCAGACGTCATCGCATACTTTTTACATTTATGATTAACATTTTTCACTGCAGTAATTTGATATAAACGAAATTCGCCAACTGTACATATAACCGTATTTACTTAAACCACGTAGATTATAAATCTATCATTTTTACAATAATAAACAACATAAAATAGCTTGGGAGGCCATATCCTCGGGTGGGTGTTGTGGCACTCGGAAGTCTGGGTTGTGCCGAACTAAAAATTTGCTATAGTACTCGGCGTGTGGTTTGCATTTGTTTAACGTACACAACAATGAACACGAGCGTACACTTAATAAGAAGATTCGACAGCGACTCCAAAATATAAAATGTGTAATGCGCAACACATAATATTATGCTTTTTGCGCATTCCGTTAAAACTTATAAATTCCACGCATAAATAGATGTTAGATGATGTGGTTTGTTTTGGTTTTTCCTTGTCCTATGGCGAATGATATAATAATATTATGTAAACACGACACGGTCATTGCGTGACTTTTTGTCGTTGAACGACACGCTTACGAATCGCATCTCGGAGTGGAAAAAAATGTGAACTACGATAAATCGACATAGGTAGTACCTACATAATATATAATAA